CCATACTTTGATTCATCTTTCTGTGCGCTCTGGATCTCTGGTTCGCACACGGTGGACCACAGGGTAGGAGATGCCCCAAGGGTTTAGATGTCCATTAGATGGGACAACACTCAAGGAGCATCTCAGCATCTCTTTGGTAAAACGTGATAGACATTACAAAGGTTTGTTGGGTTTTGTTTTTTTTTTTTTTTTTTTTTTTCTTTCCCAAAAAGATAACAAGCGCTAGGTTTTGTTTTGCTTTGTTTACGTTTGGAGTGCTTCCATATACAGAAATACACACATGGATGTTATATTACATTTTTCAGAATCTCTTTCAGATTTATTTTATAGCTCTCCTGGCTGCTTGTTGCAGGGTGGATGATGGAGCAGAATGAGACCTCACTTGTAGAATTCAGCAACTCCTGAACATTGAGTCAGCAATTAATTTAGATGTTAATTTGCAGTCCTTTAAAAAAAAAAAAAAGGGATGAATGATTTGTGAGTACACACAAAAACACACATGCTAATACTTCTGATGCTGGTTTTTTTTATATATAAACCTAAGGCAAACATCCTTAGAAATAAGTATGACTCTTCCCTCAAGAACCTGAGACGACATTGATAAAGGATGCTTGGATCTGGCTGAATTTGAGAGAGAATTTACTGACAGCACATGCTTGTTCTGTGTTCATTTGAGGAGAGCGTGTTTCCCCTCTCTGGTTTATTTAACACTGTTCTCGTGGCTGGAATACAGAAGTGTCCTTAGGATATCATTAAGGTCAGGGCTATGTTAGAATTTTTCAGTGTGGATAAATCTTCACCCCACTAAGCATGAGAGTGGAAGCGAGAGAAGGTTTGCTTATTTGCTGTCTTGGCAAATATCTCCATAATGTTCATGCCGTAGGGAAATGGGCTGCTGGGATTTAGGATTAGGTTGTCCCCATCTTGGTAACAACGTCTGGGTTTTACAACCAGACTTGCTCCCGGATTAATTTAAAAAAATGTTGAAATTGTTATCTTGTTAAAGTAAAAAATGGGAAATTGAAAATTCTGGTCTATCTGCAAAACCATATTTCCAGTTGTTTCTGTGCCAGTGTTGGAATTTCAGATTTTCTTCCAAAATCCCAGTAGTCTGCAGTGACATTACTCACTTTCTGAGTCAGGTTAAATGATTCAAACAGTCCTGTGATTTTAACCTAGTGCTTTCTGCTATGAAGTTTCCAAACTAATTTTCCTTAGTGAGAGTTAATCCTCCAGATCTTTAGGATCCCAAACTCTTTCATTTTTTTTTTTTTTTTTTTTTTTTTTTTGTCGCCTTTAGCTACTGCCATTTCTTTTTGGCATCTCTGATTTTACTGTTGACTAGTTTAATTCTTTTTGCTCCAGCATGGATGACATTAAATCCTGTCTACTAATCTGAACAATGGATTTCTCCATTTCTAAAAAAAAAAAAAAAACACAAAACCAAAACAAAACAAAAAACACCAACAAAAAAAACCAAACACAGAGGATTTAGCAGAAACAATTTAAATCTGTCTCCCTCTTGCTGCAGAATGCAGTGAGTGAATTCTTGCCAGACAGGAAAGGCTGGTGTTGATTAAAACCCAAGAAACCCCAGCCTAGTTAGCTGGCAGGGAAACAACATTTTTGGAACGACAGCCCGCTGTTGCACTCCCAGCTTCTGTGGAGTCAACGGGATTTATGAGGAGCTGTATTTCACCGTGGATTCGCATAGTGTGTGCAAATGTGGGAAAGCAAAGGCAATCTGATTTTGCTAACAAACTGATGCCCGGCAAGTTCAGACGTAACTTCATGATAGAGCTAACCCTCCAAGAAGGAACAGGAGCATAGCTCTTAGGTATATTCCATCATAGAAGGTCTTTATTTCTGTCTTTTTTTTTTTTTTTTCCTTTTGTTTTGCTTACATATATCAGGAACTTTGAAACTTCACATTGCCAGGTTAAATTATTCAACAGATTCCTTGCTTCAGGTCAGATTGCTTTGTGCTCTGTGCTTTTACAACTCACCCCTGTTTGATTTTCCTTAAATACAACAGTCGCATTTTTTCCTCCCTAACAACTCAGTGGCTGGCTTTAATGCATATTTGCTAAACAGTAATTTTAAGTGTTGTTGCAATGTTATGAAAAGGATCTATACTCTGCCGCAGCAGATGGCTGTTTCATCCCAAGTACCTGAATATAAATGGCAAATCTGAAACAGCACCGTTCGTATGCAGCATTGAATTTCCTTTCTCATTCTTCTTGTCATAATATCTGGGGATTGGGAGGCAGACAGCCCAAGTGCTTGTGGTTGAATTCGCTGAGGAGGACTCGATGAGGAGTCAACAGATCATCTGATCTTTCTTAGACAGAATTGCCCTCTTGTTTTATTCCAGTGGAAATACTTGGGGGGGAGGAAATGTATAATTCAATATATTGCAAGAACTTCTATCTAACCAAATGCACATGCAAAAACATGCTCATGAGTTTTAAGTTGCCTTCACTGTAAAAGAAGCAGAACAAAATCAAAACGAGTGAAGGATAGAAAGAATTTTCTTCGTGTTGCAAGTAGCAGAAACCAAAGACTAATGTCAGTGGCAATTTAGCCAAGAGAGACAAATGAGCATTCTGGGCTTTTTTAGTATTACTATTTGTTTGTTTAATTTTCCCTTAATCATCTTTTACTAAGCAGTTAAATTAGAGCAGAACAACACATTAAAGTTAATTCTCCATTCTTCACATTTTGTTAAACTTTCTCCTTTCAAAGATTTTTTTACCAAAAAAAACCCCCAAACAAAAACCTCCCCCACCCAAAAACCACACAACTAATTTCTTCTCATTTCCTGGCAAAGATTTACTACCACAGTGCTCAAGTGCAATCTCAAGTTACTTAAACTTCATTGCTTTTACAAAATATTCTGCAGTATTTGCAAGTTATGAATAATACCATACATAATTAAAGCTTCATTATACTTGACAAGTGAATGAATGAAGTGCATTTTGTGATATATTACCCGGTCTTTAGTTGGGGGTTTTGTTTTCTGTTTTATTATGATTTCTCACAGCTTTTTAAAACCTTTAGTTTCTCCTCTTCTTCAGCTATTCAACAATTCGGTATATTCTAGAATCCACAATGGGACTCTCAGGCTTCACTGCAAATGAATGTCATTCTGCTGTATTATATGCGTTATATGATTAAATGTTATGTCGCTTAACAAACTTCAGTAGAAGGGCATGGATTCATTTTGTACCGTTTTCTAAACTTGCCAGTGGGGAAGCTGTGTTCTTTAGAAGTGGGATGGAGGCAATTGGTCCTTTTGGCATGATGGACTAGAGTTGCAAGAGGACCTGAGCAGATAAATGAATTTCTGAGCAATTAGCCTCGGGAGAAGCAGATTCTTAGGAAATGTTTTCAACGTTTTAGAAATCATCCAGTTCGGGGTTCCCCCGTACAAGAAAACATGAACATACTATTGGCCTTTCAGTCTGTGGGGTCTCCATCCTTCTATATATACAAAATCAAGTGGACATGGCCCTGAACAACCTGTTTTAATTGACTGCTCTGAGAAGAGGTGTTGGACTAAATGGTTTCTAGAGGTTCCTGCCAGCCTTAATGTTTCTGTGATTCTGTGATATGTACAGCTTAACAAACTGCATCCTGTCTGGGTGTCTTGTTTTCTGCTCTGCTAATGTTGTCTTACTGGCAGTGCATTTAGCTGTCTCTCTGTTATTATGTCTATTATTGTTAATTTGATGGGTTTTCGAAGAGCCAGTGTCATATGAAGTCAACATTTGCTCTTGTGTTTTCACAAAAGAGGGAAACAAACTGTCCTGATCCGATATCGGGGAGGGTTCTTAAATGATCCCAGGAGTGAGATTAAGACACAAACAAGGTCTGATGCCGTACAACCTTGTGGACTTTATTTTGCATACAACTGGTAATAGCGATAGGACAGAGAGAAAAAGGAAGGAGGAGTCAGAATCCCTAAGCAAGGAAACGGCAGAGATGCAGCAAGATTAATTACCACCACCATGGATCCAGCAATGTGCCGTTGGCTCGGTCCTGGTGAAGGTGATGGTGCTCCAAGCTCCAAAAGTGACGACAAGGCTGAGAGGGAGAGAGAGAGATCCTGAGAGAGGAGTACACATTCCTTCTATTGTCCCAGATTTCTCCACAAAGCCCACCCATTTCCACTGGGCTCAATGTCTCATGGTCCTCTTCACCCCGATTTAACTTTGGGCAGATGTCGTGGCTTTGTCTGGGACAGTTCCTCTTCTCCAGAGCGTACTCCTCCATGTCCACGGGACACTGAGGCCAGGAACTGGTGGTGGTGCAACAGCAATGCTTGAGACAGACCGTCCGACACAGTCCCTTACACAAACTCGCTGTCAATCTGCTGCATTGTAACTGGGAAAATGTTTGTGGGTTCTTTTTTATACCTGAAACATATAAATGAATCCATCCATCAAGCAGGTTTCTCCTTATTATCTTACCAATGAGGAGATTTCAAATTCAGTGACTTCTTGATAATACCTTCCATCAGTTTACGCAGAGTATTTTATCAGACAGATGCTATGCTGAAAGATTGCCTTTTCCACGTAAAAATCAACATTCTGGGATGAATGGCCTTCATCAACATTTTTTTTTTTTTAGTAAGAAAAGGGTTTGATGCTGTTGTTTTTATTGTTGGGGTTTTTTTTTCATTACTCCTCCACAATTCTGAAAAGCAACCGTATAATCTGATCATTCTACTTGATTCTTATAGAAAACTTGAGTCAACGGGCTGATTTAGATCCAGCAAACAATGGCTTTAAGGGGATTTTTTATTTACTATGAGAGCTTTATAAATTTTTATTTTAATTTTAGACAGACAAAGTTTTCTATGTTTGGGTTTGTTTTTGTGTTTGGTGGGTTTTTTGTTTTTGTTTTTTTTTGCTTTGCAAAGCTTGACTGCAGAACATGTCTGTTACGCTTGGTTATTCCCCCCTTCATCATTAATGTTAGACTTTCTGTCTTTTCAGAGTGACATGTTGGATGTGAACCAGATCATTAAAGACCTGGCCTCCATGGTGCATGAGCAAGGAGACACAATAGGTAGGTATCCCATTAAAGTATGGTCTTTGTAACCCTCCTGCACCATTCCAGTGTGATGTTGCGTGGTCCCTCATGAGCAGCTGTTTGTTGATGCTGTGATTATTTTTCTTGGGTTTGGGGCATTTTGTGCATCCGGTGATGTTTTGATCTGACAAACTGCCCTGTGCAATTGGGTTCTCATATTAAGGATAGTTAGCTGGTATATTTAGCATAAAATAGAATTCACGAGGAGATGAATCCGTTCCCTTTTGACTGTAAAAAGGAAGCTGGAGAATATATAACATTAACTGGAAAGGGATCCAATTCTTCCTTTCTACCTGGAAGTGTAATTAAAAAACAATAGCAGTAGCAATTATTGTTACGATTATTGATGGTGGTGGAGAAAATTAAGCTTCTTGCTTCTCCTAAATGGAATTTTCTTTTCATATTACAGGGTGTGTCTGATTAAATTTACAGTAGCCTGATATCATGATCGTGCTCACTATGCGTAGTCTGAAACTTCTGCTGCCTATGAGTTGACCTCCTCTTGCTCTCTAACTACCACTGGCTAGCAGTGTGGTGGAGAAAACTTGGGAAAAGAGTAACCCCTGGTATTATCTTTCAGAGCAGCCCATTACTGATAGCCACCACTTTTTTTTGTGAATAGAGGGAGAAGATAGAATAGGTCTGCTCCTTTCAGATTTCCTCTGACCTTTGTCTTTGTCACCGCTGCCTTCAGATGCCACTAAGAACAATCCAACACTTTTTTTTTTTTTCATCTCTCATTTTGAGTATGTGTGATAATACTGTGCTGTGCTTCAGAAGCAACTGTCTACTTCCAAATTTGAGATCTAACAGTCCTAAAGCCACGTTGAGGGACCTAAACTCCAGAGAAGCAAGATTTGTGGAGATTTTTCTACCCTGCAGCACTCAGCTGGAGTTCTCACTGGAGCTCCTGGGAGCTGGATCAAGTCCTAAGACAGCCATATGTAGATCATAAAAGAAGAATCTCTTCTCTGCTCTTTATTAATCACTCTGGATTTCTTTGCCAAGCTCTTACCTTTGAAAGTTTCCCTTCGCATAAGATACCTCATTTCACACTGAAATGAGCTAGCTGCATCCCACTGAGAAACACCACTGAGGTTCACAGGTGCAGAAAAAAATCAAGATGATATCTAAACCCAACTTTTTAGATTATTTTTTTTTTTAAAGCATGTTTGGAAGCTCATTTTTGTACATGGATAACTTTGGAGCCTGATTCATCTCCTAAAACCACATCAGATGCTAATGCCTTGAGGGACATGACAACATACATCAGCTATCTCCCAGATACTTGTAACTCCTTTTCTTAAGGCAATATTTATTATTTTAAGATGCTGCCCATGCATAGAAGCAACCCCAGGATTAACTTGCCTGTGAGAAACAGACTAAGTCGGACATTTTGTCTTTGAGCCAGCATAAGGGTTTTGTTGCTTTTATATCTGACACATTCTTTCTTCTTCCTCTTTCACTGCAGCAGATTTTTAATAGTATTTTTAAGAGTATCTTTTCAGCCTGGCAGCTGGTCAAGGTATCTTCCCAACCAATCACTGAAAGATCCTACTCTTTATCTTTTGACATTCATATTACCCAGAAGTAAGTGAGATTGAGTCACGAGGTAAAGGGAGTTGAAACCCCAACAGTGAAAATTCAGATGCAATGATGATAAAAGACAATTCTCTTGGCACTTGGTTTTGGTTTTTTGTTTGTTGGTTTTTTTTATACATTTCACTTACATGCATGAAATGAAAGCTCTGTGTGTGCTTGTCTAGAAAACCCAGGTAAAACACATATCCAGGGAATGTGAGGAGCACCACTCAACAAAACGCTCCCAGGGCTGTAGAGAAAAGCACTCTCTGGTTCACCTGAGCTGGAAAGAATTAATGGAAAGAAATTGTCTGGCCTATGCATGGCACAGGCAGAGTAATGCATACTTCTTACAAAAACATAAAATTAGCTAGTGTGGGGGCCAGCTTCTTAATGAATACATCCATAACCCTCCCCAGGGCAGAGGACAATTTCTGCCATGCAAGGGGGAAACAGATGAGGGGAAATGCAGGCTTGGGGTATCATGTCTGTTATTTTTTTATCTTCTGCAAATAAACTTCATGTCCATGTCCCTAGTCATGGCATCTCCTTGATAGGAACATTTTGCTAAGCATTATCCTATCAGTAAGCCCAAGCTGTCAAAGCCAAAATAAGCTAGTGGGGTAGGTTACCTCTGAATCAACAGAATTAATCTTTTCAGCACAATCTTACAGAAGATCTTGACAAAAGCATCCCTATGCAGCTTCGTCACATAGAGTGCTGGTAAGGGGAAAGAGTGTGAGGAGTGGGGCACTCATAGGAGAAACCAATAATTAATTGGCTGTGGAATTAATGTTGGCAACATGGTTTTGGATTCTATAGCCATGCGACCCTGTCTGCAGATTCAGCATCTTCTTGGGAGAGGTGGGATCCCCTAACCAGGCAGGGCAAAACTATTTTCACCAGTAGGATTGCAGACCTCATAAAGATGTCTTTAAACTAGGAATGATGGTGGAGGGATGGGGTGACCAGCAGCCATGTGAGGGAGCACTGAACGGGACTGCTGAGTAAAGGTCATGGGGCGGTGTGACAGGACGGGTTCACAAAGTCATCAAGAAGGCACCATTGCGGAGAAATACTCCAAACCATCTCGAGGAGCTCAGCATGCTGGGGTGCATCTCGGAAGTGCCATACACTGTGGAATGGCTGGGAAACAACGGCCATGTGATGAGCGATCCAGACTGAGTGGCCCCGCTGTAATCAGGCTGTAGCTGTTGTGAAGAACACCTGCAAGGCCAAGGGGCCGAGAAACTGCGTGGGTTGCAAAAAGATAAGAAAACTGGAAGGTGGAAAACAAGATGTTTGCCTAACAGAAGAACTGCGCATGGACACCACAACGGGACCAACCATAGAGGGCATGAGGGTGCGTGGACAAGTAGTTTTAGCCTATTAGCAATCAAGTAGCTGCATGTGTGCTTTATGATAGTCTATAAATTGTTGTGTATCCTTTAATAAAGTGATGTTAACTTGATCACATTGATCGTATAAGTTGTGTCCAGAACTTCCGCATCATCATTACACTAATGCACACAGTATGGGAAATAAAGACGAAGAGTTAGAGCTGTGTGTGGTTGCAGAGCCGTGGGGCTGTGGAGACATGGTATGGCTCCCATGACTGGAGTCTTGCCTTAGAAGGATCCAGGCTCCTTAGGAAAAACAGGATAGGAAGATGAGGAGGAGTCACCCTTTATGTAAGAGAGCAGGTGGAGTGCTGGGAGCTCTGCCTGGGGATGGATGGATGAGGAACTGGTGAAGAGTTTATGTGTTAGGATTAAAAAGAGGACTGGCAAAGAGGGCGTTGGACTGGTTGTCTGCTGTGGGCTATCTGATGAGGAAAAAACAAGTGGATGAGGCCCTCTGCAGACAGATAGGAGCAGCTTCACATTCAAAGGCCCAGGGGACCTTCAACCACCCCAATATCTGTTGCAGGGATAACACAGCAAACAATCCGAGAGGTTCTGGAGTCCGTTGATAATAACTTTGTGGATCTGATGCACAAATGGCAATATCTGCAGGTGTCTAGAAGAGGCCCATCCATCTCCAGTGCTAAACTTCATTCTCATGGTAACAGAAGGGTTCTTCAGCCAAAAGCACCCAAGGAAATGATGTTGGGGTTGGTTGCTAGAGCAACAGTCACTTATTTCTGTTCTCATAAATGGCCACTCAACTGAACTACAAGTGCCTCGACAGCTTGAAACTTTCCCACTGTTTCAGACTAAATAACATTATTTTACAGGTACAAGCTTGTTCTTCTCTTTGCCGTGCTGGGATAAATAGACACAGTTCCATGAAACAAATTTTATAACTGCTCTTTGGGAGAAGAGAATCCCCAGTTCCTCTGAAGAAAGGGTGAGCAATGCAGCTGCCACTATTTGTATTAGTACCTCATGAAGGCAAGTGCATATTTGTCTACCTCTGTAGGCTTCTGCCTGTGTTGTAACAGAGAATAAAGATGACCCGAATAATACAGTTATTGCATTCTTTTTGCCTAAGGCAAAAGAAAATGCTGTTCTCTTTTTGGTTTAGAGGAGCTGTTTTCCCATCCTACCTGTGTATATAACCTGACTAGTTATGCCAAAATAACATGCAAGATCTACATCCCTTATCTGAACTATTTTCATTCAGCTTTCACCAGTTATATCACTGCAGCTCCGTCACATTTCTCAAAGTCACAAAGAAAGACTCACATTGTCCTGCAAACATTTACGCTTCTAAACGAGTCATGTTTCTTTCTCTTGGATGGTTTTTGAACCAACTTTCTGTCAGTGTACCTGTGACATCCCCAACTCCCTAAAATGGGAAGAGATCCCAAGATCAAATACTGGCCACATATTTTAAGATTACAGCAGCAGAGACACAGCGACTAATTTACCAGTCCTCTACGTCTTTGTGCAGACCAAACGTACACAAATCGATGCGCAGCAAATCCCTCTTTCTGGAAGAAGACTCCACTGCATCAAGCAAAAGAATTCCTCTGACTTTCTTTTTCTTCCATTACTTTTCCAGGCTTAGGTCTTGGTGCAACTAATGTTTCACTTCACACTTGAAGTCTGGGCATTTTATATTTGAAAATAATAGGGTGAAGAAACTCCATAACGTGATATAAAGTGGATGCTCCCTCACTTTACAAACATCACTACATGCTATCTGTCAGACTAGAGCCCACAGACCTGCCAAGATAAATATAAGCATGGCAGCTGGTGCTTTCCTTCAGTCTCAGAAGAACCTCCTGATGGTGTCAATATATTCAGTCCTCAAGTACTGCTGGGATTCAGTGATAAACCACATTGTCACTTATTGTCTAATGATAATAATAAACAACCTCCTTCAAAGTAAAATATATTTTCATGAATGCAAATATATTGCTTATTTTATAAGCTTTTGAATGTAGGGAG